TACCTAATTTGGTTTCTTTTGATTAGATATTTCTGTTGTCTTTGTTTAAAATCAGACCTCAAATTTTTCCCTGCATTTGTATCCTTACAAAACCTCTGTTTCTACTCATGAATATCAGGTGTTTGACATAACATCTCTACAAATATTCACCCCTTCTGAGCTGGATTACTTGCTCTGTGGTCGTAGAGAATTGTGGGAGGTGAGTTTCTAAAATTTTCAGGTTCCCATAATCATGAGACTTGAATCCATTAGATATAGTTTCATTATCAAAATCTTCTTTTCCTTGCAGGCGGAGACTCTTGCTGAACATATCAAATTTGATCACGGTTATACTGCCAAAAGTCCGGCAATCATTAACGTATGTTACTCTTCTCTGCCATTGAGCTGTTAAACACTGTTTCCCTTTACACTCAGCTTTTGCTTCTGTACTGTTGATTCCTTTCTTATTACTCTGATTTTCACCCCCACTGTAGTTATTGGAGATCATGGGAGAGCTTACAGCAGATCAACAGAGGGCTTTCTGCCAATTTGTAACCGGGGCTCCTAGGCTTCCTCCTGGTGGCTTAGCTGTTCTGAATCCAAAGCTGACGATCGTGAGAAAGGTAAAGAAACTTCACTTATTTGTTCAGTTGAGAAGAGTCAGTTTTATGATTCAGGCATTGTGGTGTTTGTAGCAGTCAAAAGAGTTTTTTCACATGAATTATACCTTGCTTTCTTGAAGTTGTAGTGTATTGGTTTCCCATGGGATTCTAAAATTATTGTGTCTATGGCTGGTGCAGCACTCATCAACCTCAAGTGCAGCAGCCAATGGAACAGGGGCGTCGGAGACAGCAGACGATGATCTCCCCAGTGTCATGACTTGCGCCAACTACCTTAAGCTCCCTCCTTATTCTACAAAGGTGAGAGTTGTTTCTTCTCTTTGTCCATGTTTCTGTGGTTGTTGATTTGTAAGCCTGAGGAGGAATTTGTTGTTTGAAACAGGAAATCATGTACAAGAAACTGCTCTACGCCATCAACGAAGGGCAAGGATCGTTCGACCTCTCATAAGCATCTCCCTGATGAGGCGCACGCACCTCTCTGTACATTATTTACATCGGAAGACTC